TTGGTGGTGCTGTTTTGGCCCAGGTTATTCAGGAGGCTCAGATTTTAGCAGCAATGTCGTGATGGAGAACCTCTCTGGAGTGAAGATATTCGATGCCGACTAAAAAGAGATTGGTAACTAATCATTCAAACACTGACCTGTACAATAATTTCCAACTTTTTCTCGATCGGGACGTTGTTCTTCTGTAGGTACGAGTCGAGGGGCTCCATTGTTCGCCAATTCCATTACCACCATCAGGGGTTCTTGTCCGGCAGCCACTCAATAGAACTAATTAAAGAACTTAAATCCGAAAAACTAAGCAATCCAAACCTTGACGACGTTGGGATTGTCAAAGTTCCAGCATCAGGCGTGCTTCTCGCATAATCTCCTTGATTTGTTCCTTTGTCAGCACTTCGAGCTTCGCCTAAACAAAGCAACAATACTTTGAACAACATAAAAACATACCAATTTCACAGCCACATCGACAAGCTTTCCTACCTTGAGTTTGAGTTTTCCTTTGTGCACTTCTCCAAACGCTCCTTCTCCCAGCTTTTTCGTGCATTCGATGTCAACGTGATTGAGTTCCCAAGGCTGTCTTCCGATTGCTGTCTCAGATAACTTTTGGATTGCTAAACAAAATAATTGGCTTTTGAAACGTTTTGCAAAACCAACTTCAAACTTACTTTCGGATGCTCTCCTTTTGTTTGATTTGGTATATAATCCTCGTGGGAATTGAGTCGAACGTGAACTTTTCGATGGAGAATTTGCCCGCCCCTGATGTTGCCCGACGACGAAATGTTTGATTCTTTGCTCCTTTCCGCGACTCGGATCCCACGTCACCTATGAGAATATAAAGAAGTTTTGTAATATTGGAAAGACAAGGTTTTGCAATTGACAAACATTGGCAAATCGGTAAATCAAGCTCCAAAACATTCAAAAGATTACCGATAAGACCCGCGGTTGACGTCACTTTGGTGGTGCGCACGAGAAATCGCCTTTGCCTAACCAGCCATCTTGATGTCCTCACGTGGCAGCAACAGGTGATACCATTTTTCACCTAAAATGAAGAGTTTAGACAATAGAGATGTACAAAAACGTTTAAAATTCTAAGCAGCTTACCAGCAAAAGGTACAAAAAGTAGTTTAAGAGAAAGAGCAATCACGCTCAAGTTAAACAATCGTTCGAAGACGAATTTATCATTTCTTCTCTGTTCTCATCTCGACTTTCCCGGAATTCAAGTTGAGTTTTAAATTATTTTATTTACGCTAAAGTTTATGAGGTGTTTCATTTTTGATTGTTAATTTTTGCTTAAACTTGAACAGTCAACTTGGTCAGATCTTTGTTTTTCTAACTTTAAGCAAGAAGTTTTATTGTTGTTGTTGGTTTTAACCTATTTGTTGGGTTTCGAAGTTTGTTAGATTTGGTTAAAGGGTTAGAAAGCTAGGAAGTTTCGCTAAGAAGCTAGGAAGTTTTAATCCGGTAGTTCTAACGAGAAAGCTTTTTATCAACTAGGTTTCAGCTTTTTCGTTTTACAGCCGAGAGAAGTCACTATGCATCGGCCACTAAACTGCTGAACAAAAAGACTAAACAGCAAAGAAGTGGTGCTAAAGTTTCAAAATAAGTTTTTAACCCATTCGAAACCGCAGCGTTTTTCTTTTTTTCGTCTACGGACCAAGCCTTTTTTGACATTTTTGACTCCGAATCGGTTGAAACATGGTTAGGAAGAATCGAAGAGAGTCTCCTACACCATTTATTTTTTGATGACGAACGATTTGGATTTGGAAGCTTCGGTACTTTTCAAGATCCTATATCTATCAGGTTATTGTTTCTTATTTATCGACGACAATACCGAAGCAGAGCGAATCTAATAAACATGGAGGGAGAAAAGAGGCTGGCGGGATTTCGATGCAAATCTTTCAAGCTCTTCCTGGCTTCAAATGAGATCAATTACCCCCGATTAAACCGACTACTGGAAGTAGCAGGCCTGATTAGGAGGATTTTCCCACATGTCCCACATTATGTCAAGAGCAAAATTTGAATCTATTCTTCGCAACCTGCGTTTTTGTGATAATGAACTGGATCCTGTAGGAGATCGGCTTTATAAGATTAGAGCTATTATGGAACATTTCAATGCAAAACCAGAGGCTGCATTGGGATATCCGGGTAAATATAAAACATCTTTTTGCCCACGTAATTTGTAGATCTGCTACAATTGGAATATACATGTAATGCTGAAAAACAGCAAAAAAAAGCAATTAATTGAATGAAAATAGCTCAATTAGCGCTGCAGCGAATGATCGCGCTGCAGCGGATCCGTTCCCTGAGTTCTTGCTGCAGCGATTTGTTCACAGCAGAAGTTTCGAATGGGTTAGCGAACAATACCTATAGAAAAACGTAAAAGAAAAAAGCCCTTACAAGAGGTGGAGGAGCGATGTAGACGGGAGGTGGTGGCGGTGCTTAGAATGGCTGATGTAGAAGTAGATGAATGGTTGATGATATGGCTGTTGAATGGCTGATGAAATGGCTGTTGAATGGCTGATAGACATGGCTGATGAATGGCTGTTGAATAGCTGGATGAATGGTTGTTGAATGGTTGTTGAATGGCTGTTCTGGCGGTTGCAACTAAATAAAAACAATATAAATAAACGAAAGCTGATCATAAAATAATATAATAACAACGTTAAAAACAAATTCGATAAAAGTAAACGTAAAGATCCAATTTCTAGAGATTTACAAATTTCTGCAAGGCCTTTCTTCCTTCCTTCAAAAAGTAATTCAAACTGCGCATGTTTTTGTGTTTTGTAGCAATTTTCCATACAATTGAGTGTTTATTGCAACCCCTAGCACCAATCGAACACTTTTTTTTTACATTCCTTTCCATCTCGGCAAGAAATATTCGTCTTTTTAAGCATTTTCGCCATTTCTGAATCTTTCCAGCTCCAATCTTTGTAGTAGATTATCTGAAAGTCGAAAATAAAGCGAAATAAAGGAAATTTTTTTTGGGCCCTGATAAGGCGAAGTTATTAAACAGCTGTTTGGTTATTAAACAGCCCTAAGCTGTTTAATAGCTGTTGTTTAATGTGTTTAATGTGTTAAATGTTTAAAAAGCTGGTAGCCGATTGGTGGGTTGCTATGCTACAAGGCGGACAAACTAGATTCGATCCCCGGCACCTTGAGTTTTCCCTTTTCTTTAGGTCACTTCCATTGACTTTTTTTAGTCTTATTATTCTCTTTACTAGTCGAGAAACCCGCCGAACAGCGGGGGTAGCGAATATCAGCGGGGCTCAAGTTTTTGACCAACTTGCAGACCGATTTTATATAAGTTTATCTTAATAACTTTTGGAAAAAACAAATAGTTTCTGAAAGCTGACGTTCTAAGCCATCTAAATCTTATTTAAACTTCCTGATCTGACAAGTTTAAGGTGCTTAAAAAATGAGCTGCAAGTTGACCAAAATTGGCCCCCCGTCGTTAACCGCAAAGCGGGTTTTTCTGGATGTTTTGGGAATAGACGGGTTTTGCCGTGGATAGCACGCCGCACATCGGCGCGAAAATGCGTTTTCTATCGGATTTTTCCGGGAGTACCTTTTTTAGATGCGGAAAATTGTGCTGATTCCGAATATGAAGGAATTTTTCAAACCCCTTGACAGAAATTTTTAAAATTGAGCTTTAGCGGTTTTTTGGTCATTTTGTATGGGAAATTTTGTGGTACCCTGCAGTTTGGGGCTCGTGACTCGACAATCAGGGTCTAGAACAAAAACCCAGGGGATAAGTTTTATTCTAGAGACTCTCATGAACATTTTGATACAAAAATCATCAAATCTGCTCAACTCTACAAAAAGTTATAACATTTTTAAAAAGAAATAAGGAAAATTTTAAAAAATTCTCTATTGCACAATTTTTTTGTTCAAAAGAACAATGTAGCTGTGTATCGTATTCACTCAAAACGATTAAGGAATATGCCAAATAACAGCTCAAGTGTGCAGGAGAGTCGAACCCAACAACCCCATACTTTTGCGCGGGATTGACGTCGCGCGCCTTAGACCACTCGGCCACGGTTTCCCTTATGTTTTTAGTGTATTTTGCAAAATTTCTTTAAAGATGTTATAACTTTTGTAGAGTTGAGCAAATTTGATGATTTTTGTATCAAAATGTTAACGTGAGAGTCTCTAGAATAAAACTTATCCCCCTCGTTTTTTGTTCTAGACCCTGATTGTCGAGTCACGAGCCCCAAACTGCAGGGTACCCAAAATTTCCCATACAAAATGACCAAAAAACCGCTAAAACTCAATTTAAAAATTTCTGTGAAGGGGATTGTGAAAATTCCTTCAGATTCGGAATCAGCACAATTTTCCGCATCTAAAAAGGTACTCCCGGAAAAATCCGATAGAAAACGCATTTTTGCCTTATTTCGCGCCGATGTGCTCCGGTCTATCGCCCATACGATCCGGGTTCAACCTCTCCGTGCGACTGGAATGGGGTTTTTAAAAAATCCAAAAGCACATTGCCAGAACTAGATTTAATTCCTATTCAACGGCACGGAAAATCTTTTGTAAACAATCCTCTGGGGGGTTAAGGAGTAGCGCAGACAGATAGACTGGACAGACAGCCAGACAGACAGACAGCCAGCCAGACAGACAGGCAGACAGACAACCTGACAGACAGACAGCCAGCCAGACAGACAGACAGACAGCCAGACAGACTTTAAACTAATTTTAAATTTCATAAAAAAAAGCAACAAGTTAACAACGATGAAAATTCCCAACTAAAAAGTCAAAGCAGTAGAAATTTGAAAGAATTTGGCAAAAAGGAATTACAGATTCAAGTCCGGCAACTCAAAATGGTTATAATGAAGCAGTTAAAGTCATAAAACTCATAATGGCAGTAGATTTTCTAGAACTTTCTTTATCTACCGTACTTTTTACTACCGTAGAAAGATTTTTCGCTTATAAGTACCTCATTTTTCTCATCATCTGCGAGAAAAGCGGCCCACCACGAGAAAGTGCCGGTTGAAATGATGAGATGATCGCAAGAGGAAAGCACTGACATTCCCACTTCTCGTTCAGTGTTTCGTGGAAGAAGAAGAATTCGCCTGATAGGGAGATATGAGTCCAGTTCTAGTGTACAAGCGTACTGGCAAGCAGTCTGTACTGTTAAGCAGCTTTTATAAGCCTGAGCTTATACTCCATCCCCATACCTCGTACCTGGCTTCGTTTCCTGCAAATTCTCTTTCGCCCATTTCAAATCATCGCTTGAGATTAGGAAAATTAACTAAATCGATTAATGATTAACCAATTAAATTAGCTTTAGTTATTCCTTTGAAAAGATCAAAACCTGTTCCGAAATTTCTACGCGAAAATATTGAATTGTTTTCTCGTAGTAGTCTCGAGGAGCCGCTTTGTGACCGTGTTTCATATTTCTATCTTTATTTTATTCATTTTCTATCGTAATCCTCTTTCTATCATCATTCTTCCCGTAATCTTTCTACCGTAATCTCACTCTAAACCTTTCTAACATTGCACAAGCATTGATTGATAAGCAAATCTTTAGCCACCTATAATGAAACGTTAAATCCAGTCCTCTTCTCACGTGAATCCCAACGATGATTGGATCAGTGATCTCTAAAAAAATGAATAGTATCGTTATAATTGGAAGGAATAGTATCGTTATATTCAAGAATATTCAAGATAAGAATATAAATATTCAAGAATTTCATCAAACCATCAGCAAATTTGAGTCGATAATCAATTTCCATTTGATCTTTTCCAGATTCTCTCTCTGCTCGCCCCAATCTCAGCGAGCTTTCGCCTCTTCGATCAAGTCATTTGACTTTAAAATAAAGATAGATAAAGAAAATAGATAAATATTGGGTTGGTGAATTGAAAACTACCGGCTATTGTCATATGGGACAGTTTGAGCACTTTCTTCAAAAGAAACCCATTCTGGTGTCAATGGAAAAAAAAGACTGAAAAAATAAAACAGGACGAAAGACTGAAAAATTCTTTGTGGCGGGGCCCTTTTATTGCGTCGGGTTACGGTAGTTTCCGACGTTTGGCGTGAAACGTCTGAAAGCACAGGTGGACGGTCCGAAAGGCATCTGTCCGCCAGAATTTTATTATTTCAAGAGAGAATTCCTTTAAGTTGATTTAAAAATAAAATAAAATAAAACCCAATTTGTTTAATTACTTTTTTAATTATTTATTATTTATTATTATTTTTAATTTATTGGGTTGGTGAATTGAAAACTGCGGGCTATTGTCATATATGACAGTTTGAGCACTTTCTTCCAAAAGAAACCTATTCTGGTGTCAATGGAAAAGTTGTAGAGAATCAAAAATGAAGCTTATATCCAAATTTTCAGAAAGATTCAAAAACTGGTTTTCAAGAAATGCCAAATTTACGAATTTTCACAAAACTTGCAACAAAATTTGCATTTTAAGCGAAACTACTAAGTGTATCTTTTAGGAAATTTGGCTATAAGCCTAATTTTTGATTCTCTACAACTTTTCTATTGACACCAAAATGGGTTTCTTTTGAAGAAAGTGCTCAAACTGGGATTATAGAGATCTCCCGGTCCTCCATTTTTGAGTCTCACACTTGTCTCACACACAAACCAAAATCCTACTACGAAAGAGGAATCCGCAAATTGCCTATAAAATGGGCAGAAGTCGTCAATAATAATGGAAATTATTTGGAATGAATTTATGGTTTTATGTTGAATAAATTTTAGTTCAAAGTGTCGGAGTTTTCAATTCACCAACCTAATAGATAAAGAAAATGGTAAAGTTTTTACCATTTGCTGAATTGTAGGTAAGAATTGAAACTCTTCTCGAATTAACTTCACCGTTTCTCCAGGATAAAACCATCTAAAAGGAGTTTTTGACAAAAAAACAATGAAAATAGATTCAAAAAGCAGAATTAATGAAAGGAAATTCCTTTTTGATCAATCTATTTTCAAAAAACGATCTCAAACGACCGTAATCTATCCAGATTATGGTCGTTTGTTCAGTTGATCAGTTTTTCCTTTGATCAGTTGATCAGTTGATCAGTTTTCCTTTGATTAACCAAAATTTTGGTATCATTGAGGCTTCAAAATCATTGAGGCTTTAGATTCTCTCATGAAATGAGCGCTGATGAAAAGAGACAACAATTAGATTCGACTGGATGAACTAGCGAATGGAAATTCGCTTATTAGGATAGGTTTTTTTGAAATAGATCTTTTAGAAAAGATTTCACCTCCAATTCTGCATATAACCCTCAACTTTTCGTAGATTTTGTGCCCAAGAAAAGTTTAGCGATAAATCTTTATACGTACAACAATCCTAAACATCTTTTAATTTTAAAAAAAGTTAAATTTAGCTTTAAATATTTGTATTTTTATATGTGTCGTAGCCGATGAAGGATTTCAGCCGAAGAAGTCTCAGACTTCTTCGGCTAGTCTCAAACTTCTTCGGCTAGTCTCAGACTTCTTCGGCTAGCCGATTAAGTCTCAAAAATGAAATCTTGAGTTATGTATTGACTCAAGTCAATACCACAGACTCAAGCTCTCTAAAAGGCGCTTAAAAGCTAAAAACGCATTCTAAAGAGTGCGCATTTTATCATACGATAACCAGGCCCTTTTCGTCATTCGTAATAAAAGCGCCCTTTTCGTCATTCGTCAAAGGCACAGATTTAATCGATCTTCAATCCGTTTCCGATGGAGAATTCAAGTTTTTGATGGTCTACCAGGGATCATTTCACAAAGTTCGTCGTTTTGCGGGCATTGCAAAGGAAAACACAATTTGAAGTTGTCGATCATCTAATGGAAATATTCGGAACGTTTGGAACCCCAAAAATTCTTTAGTCCGACAACGGAAAGGAGTTCGCCAACAAATTGGTAAGCTTTTACTTTTGTGTCTTATCGAATGACGCTTTATTTTGTTTGCTTTTAGGGCAAAGAACTCGTGAAACCGGTGGTAAATTATTCTTTATTTTTGTTTTATTATTGTTTAATAAAACAAAAATGTTCTAAGCTCGCTTTTGGTATTATTGTTTATTTTTGTTGTTTAGTTTGATCGAAAAATGCAACTTGCAATGAAAAATGCAACTGCAACTAGAATGCGTTTGCGTTCCGAATATTTCCATTAGATGATCGACAACTTCAAATTGTGTTTTCCTTTGCAATGCCCGCAAAACGACGAACTTTGTGAAATGATCCTGGTAGACCATCAAAAACTTGAATTCTCCATCGGAAACGGATTGAAGATCGATTAAATCTGTGCCTTTGACGAATGACGAAAAGGGTGCTTTTTATTACGAATGACGAAAAGGGCCTGGTTATAGTATGATAAAATGCGCACTCTTTAGAATGCGTTTTTTAGCTTTTAAGCGCCTTTAGAGAGCTTGAGTTTGTGGTATTGACTTGAGTCAATACATAACTCAAGATTTCATTTTGAGGACTTAATCGGCTAGCCGAAATCCTTCATCGGCTACGACATATGTATTTTGATCAAAACTTACTTTTTAAAATTGGTCCTTTTGATTTTGAGTAGATTCTCATGGAATTTGTCGGTGATTTTCTAAATTTCATCTAGATTTACGACAATTTGTCCACTTACTCTAATCCATCAACTATTTAAAACCCTTTGCACTAGAGTGGATGTGTTTACGCTTCTTTTAAGCACAAAGTACACTCAATAGGCACTGCATTTAAGCATAAAGTGCGCAACCGTAAACCCACCTTTTCTAGTGCATTGATTTCTTCATTTTTCAACGTTGATGTGGCGAAAAAGATAAAGAAAAGGAAAGAAAAAGAAAGATAAAGAATACAAAGATAAACAATTCAGTAAACCAGAAAGACTGCGTTTACAAGTGCAAAGTGGGAGAAAACTTACAATTGCTTGCAAATCAAAGGCTCTTCTTAAAAGATTTTCCTCGGATATCGGCAATAAAGCTTGATATTTTTGAGCTAAAGCGATCATCGCCGCGTATTGAAACATTAGATTGCCAAGGCCTAAGATTTGAGAGTTTTTCGAGATCTAGATCATTTTTAAAAATCACCTTTTACTATAAGAAAAGTTTCCAAGTAGTATAAAATCGCCGATTTCCATGAGTTCATCCCAAGTTGAGACGAGTTTTCGATCGGGGAGTTCCCATTTTTGATCGAATCTAGTCTCTCCACCTGTAAAGCTCAAGTTTTTCGGCTGGCTTTGTTGCCTTTGGTTAAGAGGCAGCAAAGCCAAGCCTTTGGCCGAGTGGTTAAGAGGCTTGTCTCTCAGGCGGTACCTGAACAAGGGAGGTTGAGGGTTCCAACCCCATCGACTAGATTTTTTTTAATTTTTCGGCTTAAGGAAAAATTGTTATTGTTGTTTATTGTTGTTTATTGTTGTTTATTGTTGTTTATTGTTGTTTATTGTTGTTTATTGTTGTTTATTCTTGTTTATTCTTGTTTATTCTTGTTTATTCTTGTTTATTCTTGTTTATTCTTGTTTATTCTTGTTTATTCTGGTTTATTCTTGTTTATTCTGGTTTATTCTTGTTTATTCTTGTTTATTCTGGTTTATTCTTGTTTATTCTGGTTTATTCTTGTTTATTCTTGTTTATTCTGGTTTATTCTTGTTTATTCTGGTTTATTCTTGTTTATTCTGGTTTATTCTTGTTTATTCTTGTTTATTCTTGTTTATTCTGGTTTATTCTTGTTTATTCTGGTTTATTCTTGTTTATTCTTGTTTATTCTGGTTTATTCTGGTTTATTCTGGTTTATTCTGGTTTATTCTTGTTTATTCTGGTTTATTCTGGTTTATTGTTGGTTGTTATATTTGCTATTGTTTGCTATTGTTTGCTATTGTTTCCTATTTTCTATATTTACTATATTTTCTATATTTACTATATTTGCTATCGTTTACACCAATATTAGACTAAGATATTATAATAAAGATTGGAAGTAAGATAAGTAAGTAGGAGAGAAGTTAAACGATCACCTGATTGCGTAAAAACGGCAGTTTTCTCAATCCGGAATCTTGAATTCGGTGGATTTTTCAAATTCAACGTATCAACGGTGAAAGATCGACTTTTTTGAGGAATATTTGTAGAAAATATGAGTGAAAACAGAAAGAAAAATGAATAAGATTAAAAGACGGTATACTAAATTTGAATAAATAAATCAATAAATAATTCTCAAATTTCAACCAACCACACTTCATCGAGAGTTTAGTATAAAGGAATGGGGTTTTCTTTGGCAATGAAAAGGATTGATTTTTCGGGATGATCTCTGAGGAATATTTCTGGGAGATCTAGGTCAGTCCCTTTCAGTTTTCCCTTTCAAAAAGACTTCACGCAAAGCTTTTTAGAAAAGAATTTATTTATTTATTTATTTATTGATTGATTTATTTATTTATGTGACTGGTAGACGTCTACTTTTTTGATGCACGATGAACGTTTCGCGAGAGTTTGGCTCTGGAGACAACAAGCGACGCAGTTGTTTCAGTACAGCGGAAGTGGAAGCGACCACTTACCAACCACAGCGACCACTAGACCAAATTTAGAGAGATAGGGAACCAAATTTAGAGAGATAGACCACTAGACCACTAGACCAAGAGGAACCAAATTTAAAGAGATAGGGAATCCCATTTCTTCGAGCTTTGATGATTTTCTCGAATAATTTGGTACAAAAAATGCGCAAACACAACCCTAAATCTAGCAAAAACAATCTATTGGGTTGATGGAAAAGTCCTTTCCGATTTTTTGGGAGAGTACCTTAAATTTGTCGAATTTAGACGTTTTATAGCTCATCCTAAAGCTGAATTCAAGACGGATCGATTGGTAAAAACCGTTTTGAGATATCTCTTTTCTAAAAGTTTTAACAGCTATTTTAGTAAAGGGCGGCAGAGCCAAAAAAATGGCTGTTTTCACGTTTCGTTAGTTTTCCGTGCACAAACCTAGGCTAAAAACATGTGTTTCGTGATCAGCGTCAAAAATAACCCCTAGACATGCATTTTCAGAATCTTAGCAAAAAATTTTTGAAAAATATTGTCACCGGTGGAAGTCGAACCAGCGACCCTCAGATCAATAGCCTTTCCGCCGCTTTTCGCGATTTCCCTTCGTTTTTCTCGTTTTTTTTTTTGTTTTATCATTTCCGTCTTGAATTCAGCTTTAGGCGATGAGCTATAAAGCGTGAAAATTGGACAAATTTAAAGTACTCTCCCAAAAAATTGAACGATTGAACGATTGAACCCTTGACCTCTCAACGAAGATACTAAGATCTTAGCCAGCCGCCCAAGCCGCCTAATATAATAATATATTACGAGAATAGATGAACAATCTTGCCTGTAGGCCTCTAGGCAAGATTGTTTCAAAAAAGTCATAAAATTTTCCACGAATATAGTCATATACCAAAATCTTTTTCGAGAAATTTCTTCTTTTTCTGTTTTTTTCTTTTGATTTCTGGTTGATAACTCTATTTTTAGTTCCTCAGCGCCTACTTATCAACTCATGACAAAGAGAAAATCATCAAAGCTCGAAAAATGAGATGTCTAGAAAAGTAATCGCTTCCACTTCTTCCGCTGTACTGAAACAACTCCGTCGCTTGTTGTCTCCAGGACCAAACTCTCGCGAAACGTTCATCGTGCATCAAAAAGTGGACGTCTATCATTCACAACTCCACGAGAAGGGAAGGCGCTCATTCTCACAAGAAAAGAGAAAAGAAGAACCCAAATCGGAATGTCTCTGATGGCGTGGCTATGGTGAAGCAACAGCAAAGAAATCTCTCGAAAAATAGTGAGTCGATTCGCAGTGGATTGATGACTAGAAGGGCCGCCAAGAAACCTCTGATAGTAGCAAAGCACTGGAAGCTTTGTTTCGAGTTTGCCAAGAAGTATCAAAGTTGGATGTCGCACGATTGGGCCAATGTTATGCTCACTGACGAATCGAAAGTCAATCTTTTGATGGCAATCATAAGGAGACCAGTTGGACAACGTTATAACATCAAAAACTTGCCAAATTGGCATTTCTTTGTTTACTTTAGGTATTGGCTTGCCAAATTGGCATCTTTTCTATCGTTGGGGAAAGATTTATTTGAATAAAATAGTTTTCTAACAATTTCTTAGAGATAAAAACTCGTTGAAAGATAAAGGTAAATAGATAAAGAAGCAGATTTACAAAAAATAGAGACTGAAATTGAATGGCTTGTCTTGAAATTGAATGGCTTGCCTTTGTCAGATCGAATCGCTTGTCAGTTCAACCAAAGGGAAAGTCAAGGATTGAGTTAGCCTATCTTGAGTTAGCTATCGTAGCCAACGATAGCCAACGATAGCCAACGATAGCCAACGATAGCCAACGATAGCCAACAATAGCCAACGATGTTTAAACTCTTGTTTAAACTGTGCTTACTTTCTAATCTTTTCTCTAAAACATGTCCTATCTCTCGTAATGTTATTTTAATTTAATTTTAATTTAACCGCAGGTTCAGACATTTGGTTGATGCACTTGGCCGATCGGCCAATGGTGCGAAGCTACCATCTGCGGGATTATAACTGAACGCCTCTAAGTTCGAATCCCACCTAGTCAAGGCAATGATAACTTTGCTCTCTCGGTGTCGGGAGGCACTTTTATGTAGTGGTAACGCTACAGCTTATGCCCTATCAGATGGCCTTGCTCGTTGGGTGAATTCTAGCGAGTTGCCAAAGCCGGATTTTTTTTTTTGTATGCTTATCTTAGAGTTAATTATTTATTGTAAATATTTGAAAAAAGATCAAGAGAAATGATGAAAAAAACATGTAAAATAAAGAAATGAACCCGTAATCGATGAAAATAACTGGCAAGAGGAGATGAGAATGAAAAAGAAAAGGCTTTTTGAAAAGGATGAAAAGAAAAGGGTTTTTTAAAGATAAAATCTAAATCTTTTGCTTTAGTTTACTTAATATTGTAAAGGAAAAGAGTGGGAGTTTGCAATTGTTGCAAAAACTTTCTGACAGTAATCACTTCTTAAGTTTATTTAAAAAGAGTGATTAAAATTAAAGTTGTTAAAAAAGTTGGGTTGATGTTGGGTTTGTTTTACTGAGTGGCTTTAAAACAGTGGCTTTTGATATACAGTTGACAGAGCTAGGGAAGACTAGAGGAAATGAAAATATTCAATCAACAAATAGAAGAAAACAATCAGAAATCTGAGTAACCGGTTTTTGAGAAATTACGATTTAAAAGCACGTGCTCAGCGCCTCGAATTGGAAGAGGATGACGACGATAGTATTGAATTGCGGAGGAGATTGAGCTGAAGGAGATTTGATTATCAGATTATCTGCTTAGCTTTACACGATACTGTAGCTAGTAGCTAGTAGCTAGTAGCTAGTAGCTAGTAGCTAGTAGCTAGTAGCTAGTAGCTAGTAGCTAGTAGCTAGTAACTAGTAGCTATTTAGCCTTGTAGCTAGTAGCTACACTATTGGACAATGAAATATCATATTTGAAAAACGATCATCACTTTCGCGCGTCTATAACTCCCTTGTCTTTACCGTATTTCTAAATATTAATATTAACATTGTGTAGCCCTTGAAAAGAGCTTTCAGAAAATGTATAACACTAATAGTTTAAACTTAAAGACAAGGGAGTTACAGACGCGGCGAAAGTGACGATCGTTTTTCAAATATGATATTTCATTGTCGAGTAATGTAGCTACTAGCTACTAGCTAGCTTTCATTGTTCAGTACTGTATGTAGTACTGTATGTAGTACTGTATGTACTGTATGTACTGTATGTACTGTATGTACTGTATGTACTGTATGTAGTACTGTATGTACTGTATGTACTGTATGTAGCCATCTAGCTAGTTGCTATGCATCTATTTCATCTATTTACTCGTTTAAAAAGTCTCACCGAAAAGTCGGCCCTTCACCAACGATCCATTGCCCATCTCGACGCTCTAGCTTAATGTGAAGCACGCTTGTTGACCCTGAGAAATCGATTGGTTAATGATCGATTGGTTAATGATCGATTGGTTAATGATAAGAGATTAGATTAGATCCTACTATGGGATTTAAATGTAATTTAGATCCTATTATAGAATTTAAAACTAATTTAGATCCTACTATAGCATCTAAATATAATATTTAGATCCTACTATAGCATCTAAATATATTAGGTGTGTGAAAAAGTAATTCACGTTTTTTATTTTTATCTGATGACCAAATAAGAAGCTGTCTTCTCGAAAACCCTCGTTCAACCTCTTCAGAAATAGGCCTTACATTAAATTGTGATGGGTCAACCGTAAGGAAACGCTTGAATATCATGAATTTTATCAAAAAGTTGGACAAATGGATACCGCATGAATTGAGCGAAGAAAACAAAAGAATGCGCCTTACAATCGCCAATTCTTTGATTAGTAAACATCAAATTGAGCCATTTATTGATCGAATTGTTACGTGTGATGAAAAATGGCTTGATTACGATAATTCTAGAAGGTCTGGACAGTGGGTGGAACGTGGTAAACCTGCTGGGACAATGCCCAAAAAAAGCCTCCATCCTAAAAAAATTTTAATGACATTTTGGTGGACTGCACGTGCTTTTATGCATATAGACTATTTACCACGTGACCAAACGATTAATTCGAATGTCTATTGTGCCGAGATTGATGCAGTCCAACAAAAACTCACTGAGAGACGCGCATCATTGGTAAATAGGAAAGGTGTCCTGTTGCTCCATGATAACGCGCGACCACATTTCTCTTTACAGACTCGACAAAAAATCCAGAGTGTTGGATGGGAGGTTTTACCAAATCCACCTTACAGTCCAGACCTTTCTCCATCTGATTATTATTTATTTTTGTCTCTGTCTAACTTTTTGGCCAATTTTTGGCCAAAGCTAACGGTTCAATTCCGAAGAAGATGTCAAAATCGAGGCTAATCTTTTCTTCGCCTCTAAGGACCAAGATTTTTATTATCGTGGAATGTCTTTACTTGTAGAACGTTGGCAAAAGGTTCTTCTTTCGAATGGTGATTATTTCGTTGAATAAAAATTATTTTAACGAAACTTATGGTCTTTTATATTTAAACGTTAAAAACGTGGATTACTTTTTCACACACCGAAATAATATTTAGATCTAAATATAATATTTAGATCTATTGGGTTGGGGAAAATGAGTCGGCGCCGAAAATCAAAAAAAATGTCTAAAACTTCCAGCAGACTTCGTCAAATAATATGCGTTTGATATGAGTAGAATGGTTAACTAATTCTCTACAAAATCACATTTAAAAGAAAATTCAAACAGCGCCAAGAAAAAGCCATTTTTTCACAAAAACTACAAACTGTCATCTAGAAAAAACCATTGGTGGGATCTTCCTGCAAATTTGGCAACTTAAGTAATTGAATGTGCTCTATCTTTTTTATATAAACACCAAAGAAGGTTTATGTGAAAGAAACTGTTCAAATGATGAGTCGGACTCTTTGCCATTTTAACCAGCTGCGTTATGGAAGTTCATAAACTCCACGAAAGAAAAGCTTTGTGGAATCTCTCAAAAGTGATTTTGTAGAGAAATAGTGGATCCTTTTGATGAAACTAAACGTATGTTTAAAGAAGGCTTTATGTGTGCAAAAAGTCCCTTTAAAGTTTGGCGCCGACTCATTCTCCCCAACCCAATAAATATAATATTTAGATCCTACGGAAAAGTATTAAACTATTAAACAGATATCTCAGAGAATAGAGAACAAATCAAACAAATCAAACAAATCAAACGACAAAACCTTTCAAACTGAGCGCAGCCGATCCCTCCTTTCTGTACCTTAGCAAATAATCTCCGAGATTCGTCGACTCCAATCGTTTCTCAGCCTCGATTCGATCTAGAATCTTTTTTAAATCTAATTACGGAACTCTTTCAACTTACAACTTGGTTACAATTGTTGGTTACAATTGTTGATTACAATTGTTGGTTACAATTGTTGGTTACAATTGTTGATTACAATTGTTGGCATCGAGCTACAAGCTAAGATACCTACTGCATTGGATTCTACGCAAAATTCTGATCAAAATCCAGTTTTAAAGTCAACCCAATTGCCTCACTAACCCATGGAAAAACACATTTGAAAATTGGGAGAATTTTCGGAGTTCGTTGGGATAAGCCTTCCCTTGTCGAGGCTTTTCGATGACCCAACGGCCTATTGGATAGTCTGCTCGATAACCGAATGTTTCCTCGCGGGTTCGGATCCTCTTGAAACCAAAATTTCTGCATTTTTTGCAAACAAGATTCGAATCTTTTTTATTTAGTAATTTATGGGTTTTTTAACGAACAATTTGAAAAACTATGGACAAAATATGGCCAAGCTTTGAAAATTTTTCACACTTCCAATTTTCAAACGTGCTTTTCCACTTGGTTAGTGAGGCAATTTAGTTGATTTTAAAACTGGATTTTGCTGAGAATTTTGCGTAGAATCCGGTGCACTAGAGTTCGTAGCTTAACTCGAGCACTAGAGCTCGAGGACTAGAGCTCGAGGACTAGAGCTCGAGGACTAGAGCTCGAGGACTAGAGCTCGAGGACTAGAGCTCGAGGACTAGAGCTCGAGGACTAGAGCTCGAGGACTAGAGCTCGAGCACTCGGTGTACTAGAGTTCGTAGCTACTTTCAAAAATTTCCCTAGTCAGTGAGCATTTTGTATAGTAAAGTTCATTTGATCTTAGAGAGTAAGGAGGTGATTAGGGTTTAAGGCAATTTGAATTTGATATTCGGTGTCAAATACCGTATTCTCTAATAGTAGTGCACGCAGAATTGCTGAATTGCTAGTTGCCTGAATTACTTGAAATCTCGAGAAGCGCTTATCAGAACCGATCGATGTGGGGTCGGAAAATGTAGCTGACGATGAGATCTAGCGGAGGATTAGAATGATGAGTCTCTAGGAAAGCTTGGAAACGATAAAATAGTCATAAACTCGGCTTGCCGGAGTGCAATACTATTAGAGAGAATACGGTATTCGCTATGCGCACAGCACCACCCAATCCCTACTAAATTTAAACGAACCAATCCCTTTCTCGAGCATTAAATCCTCGTCATGGCGAAAGTCGATCTGGATCTTGTCCTTTTCGACTCGTAGGCTAAAAATTGAATAAATAGGCTAAATTGAACAAATAGGCTAAAAATTGAACTACTGTAAAGCCGCTAATAAGCCCCGTATAGGAGCGTCGCGTAGTCGAAGTTTACTCTCAAACAAACTTTCATATCTCAGCATCAGTACGTTTGTTTTTGCTCGCTTGGGTATCAAATTAAAGCAGAGAGAGAATGGGTGATTTTTTGAGATATAAAACATATTTCTAGCATTAACCAGTGCTTAGAAAAAAATGATTGAAAAATGATGAAAAATCGGCTTTTTTTGCTACTTTTTAGTCATTTTTTTCTAAGCACTGGTTTAAGTTTAAAATATGTTTTATATCTCAAAAAATCACCCATTCTCTCTACTTTAATTCAATCTAATTGAATCGTGATGGATGCTGGAAAAGTTTCGAGTTTCGAGGGTAGTAAAGTTTGGAGAAATAGGTTGAACGATTCAAAAAAGAAACGTTCGGTTCTGAAGCGGAGTTTGAATGAAAATGAATTCAATAACGGACATATAAAATGTTTTTCTATTAATTCTAAAGCTATACATATTTCTATGGCTTTGTGGCTCAAGGAAATTAACTTTCCGAGGTGATTGATGTCACAAAGTCAAAAATGGAAGCGAGGTAATCACCGTCTAACTAGTCTGGAGCGTCAACTTCAATGTAAACTTCATAAACCTCAATGTAAACTTCATAAACTTCAATATAAACTCCATAAACTTCAATATAAACTTCAATTTAACCAACAGATCAATACCAATAACCGATTTTCTCAAATCCTCACCTAATCCTCTTCTCATTTGTCCTCCTTTTGTTTCGCTCGTGTTCTGGAGAAAACTGTTGTTGTGTGAGCTGGTGGACGTGATGATTTTGAGTGTTTGGAGGGGAATTTCCATTTGAGAGCCGCGATGGAGATGTTTGTGGAGGAAGAGGTGATGAGGGGCTCGACGAGGAGTCACAGCCACGAGGAGAAGAGGAACCGGGAAGACGCATGCCCTGGAACGATCTTGATCTTGCTGGAACGATTTTGCTAAAGTGTTTCCCGACTACCGTAACCACTCTAAAGCCGGCTCCAATAGCTACAGTAACCCCAAGCCAGCTACGGTAGTTGTTTGTTTTCGTCTGGAGTTCTCCTTGTCTACGGCAAGTCCAGCCGAAGAAGTCTACGGCTGGAGTAGACTAGACTCATAAATCTCGCCATTACAGTAGTCCTTACATTAGTCGGAGTCGTTACAGTAGTCGAAGTACAGCTTTTGTTAGTGATTACAACTAATAATCCTTTTTTTAGTGATTATCTTAATTTATTATTGATTATATTAATTTGTTATTGATTACTAGTGTTCATAAGCACTGTAATAGCCTTAGAAAGCTTTAGAAAGCCTTAGAAAGCTTTAGAAAGCCTTAGAAAGCTTTAGAAAGCCTTAGAAAGCTTTAGAAAGCCTTAGAAAGCTTTAGAAAGCCTTAGAAAGCCATAGAAAGCTTTAGAAAGCCTTAGAAAGCCATAGAAAGCTTTAGAAAGCCTTAGAAAGCTTTAGAAAGCTTTAGAAAGCCTTAGAAAGCTTTAGAAAGCTTTAGAAAGCCATAGAAAGCTTTAGAAAGCCTTAGAAAGCTTTAGAAAGCCTTAGAAAGCTTTAGAAAGCCTTAGAAAGCCATAGAAAGCTTTAGAAAGCCATAGAAAGCTTTAGAAAGCCTTAGAAAGCCATAGAAAGCTTTAGAAAGCCTTAGAAAGCTTTAGAAAGCTTTAGAAAGCCATAGAAAGCTTTAGAAAGCCTTAGAAAGCTTTAGAAAGCCTTAGAAAGCTTTAGAAAGCCTTAGAAAGCCATAGAAAGCTTTAGAAAGCCTTAGAAAGCCATAGAAAGCTTTAGAAAGCCTTAGAAAGCTTTAGAAAGCTTTAGAAAGCCATAGAAAGCTTTAGAAAGCCATAGAAAGCTTTAGAAAGCCTTAGAAAGCTTTAGAAAGCCTTAGAAAGCCTTAGAAAGCTTTGGAAAGCTTTAGAAAGCCATAGAAAGCTTTAGAAAGCCTTAGAAAGCTTTAGAAAGCCTTAGCCCCTAGCCTTATTTGTCCCCTTAGCCTTATTTGTCTGTTTGTCAAGAAATTTTGTCGATAGCGGGACTCGAACCAAGCGCGAACCGATCGCGAATTTTGTAAACCGGCACACTAGCCACTAGGCCACCAGCGCTCGGTCCCTTGTGGCCCTTATTGGTTAAGGGACAATATTTCGATACTTCTAATGCATTTTCTCGTCAGGATTTTAAGCAAAAACTGAATAGATATTTGAAATGCTAATCTCCCATAGATCTCTCCCTCCTCCCTTCCTCCCATCCTCAAAAATCAGCCCAATTTTCGAGTCAGCATAAAAATTTTACAATATTTATATAATTTCTTCGAGAAAAATACTAAGAAATTATATAAATAGTATAAAAAAAAAAACTAAAACCAACCGCAGTACTCAATCGAATAGAGCCAGGACGAACGAGGAATTCCCACGGGGTGTCATAGTGATCCTCGTCCATTTTTTTTGTGAAGAAATCCTGAAAAATGAAATTAGTTACGAAAAGTAAACGAAGGAACAAGGAAAACAAGAAGAAAACAAGAAATAACATTGGAAAAGATAGAGAAGAACACTTTAGAATAGAGAATTACTTTAAGTTTAACTTCAAACGAGTTACTTTACTTAGAATTTCAATTCGAGAGTAGAGAAAAAAATTTAGAGAAAAAAATATATTCTTCGAGAAGTTTTCATGTTAAATTTGAATCTTTGTTGCAAATTTTAAATGTTTTAATTTTATACTTATTGTTAAATGTTAATTTTTGCGCAACGTCGCATTCCAATTGGCGTCACCGCCATTTGGAGGTAGTCGATAGGAGCGCCGCGTCGTCGCTTCTTTTTCATTTTCAAATCATTTTTTTTTGTCAGCTTACTTTTTTATTGAAATTTTTTCATTATTTAATTGTTTTTGATTGAAAGTATTGTTTTACGCGATAAATTTTGTGTTTCTCTTTGAAATGAGAAAGCAATCTATTTCCATTTGGGAGCTGACGACATCACGTTCCAATTGACGTCACCGCCATTTGAAGGTAGTCGATGGGAGCGCCGCGTCGTCGCTTTTTTTTTCGTTTCTTTTTTATTTCTTTATTCTTGTTTTTGTTAGATTGATTGAAATTATCGTTTTACGCGGTAAATTTCGTGTTGTAATGAGAAAGCAATCTATTTCCATTTGGGAGCCGACGACGTCACATTCCAATTGACGTCACCGCCATTTGGAGGTAGTCGATGGGAGCGCCGCGTCGTCGTTTCTTTTTCATTTTCAAATCATTTATTTTTCGTCATTCCTTTTTCGTTTTCAAATCATTTGTTTTTCACGGATTATTGAAATTATCGTTTTACGCGGTAAATTTTGAGTTTCTCTTTGAAATGAGAAAGCAATCTATTTCCATTTGGAAGCCGACGACTTCGCATTCCAATTGACGTCACCGCCATTTGGAGGTAGTCGATTGGAGCGCCGCGTCGTCGCTTCTTTTTCGTTTTTAAATCATTTTTTTCTTCTTCGTCGTTTTTTTTTCGTTTTCAAATCATTTGTTTTTCACAGATTATTAAAATTATCGTTTTACGCGATAAATTTCGTCTTGAAATGAGAAAGCATTCAATTTCCATTTAGATCCGAGTGGAGAATCCGTTACTTTTCGTAGCCGGACCACAATGAAGGCCAAAACTAACTGTATAATGGTTTGGGGAGTTGAATGGAAACAATGAAAGCTTATCTTCTCGAATGAGAAAGCAATCTATTTCCATTTGGGAGCCGACGACTTCGCATTCCAATTGACGTCACCGCCATTTGGAGGTATTCGACGGGAGCGCCGCGTCGTCATTTCTTTTGCATTTTCAAATCATTTATTTCTTCGTCATTTCTTTTTCATTTTGTCAGTTTATTTTTATTTTTTAATTGTTTTTGATTGAAAGTATTGTTTTACGTGATAAATTTTTTTATTTTTCTCTTTGAAATGAGAAAGCAATCTATTTCGGTTTAAGGCCGAGTGGAAGGATCCGGAACTTTTCGTAGCCGGATCACAATAAAGGCCAAAACTAAGTGTAAGATGGTTTGGGGAGTTGAATGGAAACAACGAAAGCAAGGCTTATCGAGACCGCTACAAAACTGAGAACCTTTTAGAAGAGGCATTAATTGTGAGGAAGATACCCTGGTTCCAACCTTTATCTTCTAGGCCGTTACAAAACGGAAATTCGAGAAATTTCTGCGAAATAAATAACAAAAGTCCTCAAAAACGAGTTGACACGAAAAATCACCGTCATTAGTGCGTAGCACGGTTTCATTATCTGCAAAAAAAACCCTCAATCTGCTTAAATCTGATTAAATCCTCAAAAGTTGTCTGAAAATTATAGAAAGTATAAAGCTAGTCTAAAAATTTAATAAATAGATTTAAATATAGAATTAATCTGCGAAAAGTTATAAAGTGGAAAAAGAATAGAAATAGAATAGAAATAGAATAGAAATAGAATAGAATCCAAATCCAAATCCAAAAGCCAACGCCAAGCCAACGAATCACTCATAATCCTCTTATTCAATTTGTATCTAGTCAATCATAACAGTAAAAAAAAAAGCGTGTAAAAATTTTTTCTGAGGATCTCCGAAAAGCGAAAAGGTAAAAAAGGCAAAAAGGATCAATGTTTTGTTGGATTGTCAAGGCCATTTTTTTTCCTTTTTTTCAATCTTTTCTCTATATTCTATAGGTGTGAATTTGTACCCGCTTTTATGGGTTTTTTTTCTTGTTCTTGTTCGAGGTGAATCGAGGGAGAGAACGGAAAAAATTTTCGATTTATCGATTTTTAGTTTTATATGCTAAATTTCAATACTATTAGTTCTAGAGCCGGCTAAATAAAAAAATTAATCGGCTAAATTAAACTCAAGCACTCAATAATATTGAGTTTATAGTTTGCTCTACTTGTTCTGGATTTTCGATTTTCTGAGCTGTAAGCACAGCCAGACAGCAGCCTCCTTGAATTCAGGGATTTTGTCAGCTAATGGTCAGTCAGCTAATGGTGAATCAAGTCAGATAAGGATAGTTAATAGTTCAAAAGCTAAAACAAGCTAAAACAAGCCAAATCAAGCTAAATCAAGCTAAATCAAGCTAAATCAAGCTAAAACAAGCCAAATTAAACCAGAATCCAGTCGATAGCATCGTCCAGAAAGTCAATAAACTCAATAAAGTCGAATTTCAGAAGGCTGAAAGCTTTGCGCATTGATAACAGTTGACGTTAAGCGAAATTTTGTACAGCTTTAGTCAGCTAGACATCAGAATCAGCTAGACATCTGACATCAGAATTGACATCAAAAGAATCCGATACTAAAACAGCGAGGCCAGAAGCAGAAAGATACAAGAAAGTCAGAAAAAGGGGCAAGAAAATTGAATGCTCAAGGAAAAGGGGATACATGTCATCTTTCAGAAATGGCAGAAAAGAGATGCTGGGAAGAGGCCGGGGTGGTCAATAAGGGACTCGCATAGAAAGAGGAAAGGAATTAGAGCAAAGAAATGGGGAGGCTGGCCCCTAGGGGACACCCTGGGGACCTCACTCTACTAAGTAAGCAAGGGAGGAAGAAATGAAGGAAGGAAGGAAGCAAGGAAGGAAGCAAGGAAGGAGGCAAGGAAGTAAGCAAGGAAGTAAGCAAGGAAAGAAGCAAGGAAGGAAGCAAGGAGGTAGGCATGGAAGCAAGCAAGGAAGGAAGCAAGGAAGGAAGCAAGGAAGCAAGGAAGGAAGCAAGGAAGTAAGCAAGGAAGTAAGCAAGGAAAGAAGCAAGGAAGGAGGCAAGGAAGGAAGCAAGGAAGGAAGGAAGCAAGGAAGCAAGGAAGCAAGAAAGTAAGCAGTAAGCAAATAGGTAACCTGAAAAAGGTCAGGTTTCACCAGCCGAAAACCTCGCCGAACAAAGGCCGAAGGACCCGGTTAAGGCCGAGTTTTTCAACGGCCCAAAGCCGTTGCCACCGTGGCGCAGTCAGCAGCGCCTTGCTCTACGACCCCAGACGATCCGGGTTCGAGCCCCGCTACCGCCATTCAACTTATAATTTTGAATTTTTCATTTTAAATGGTACAACTATAATATATTTTGATTCATTTAAGAGAATTCTAGCTCTAGAGCCCACTAAGGGACCCTGGGGATGGATTTCTTTCGGTCATCTCTTCCCCCGTCCACCGCCATTCCCTTCTTTGATCGAACACCGGAAAGAGCAATGGATTGCCCGTCTTTCTGTCGATGAGTCACCCCAATTCTCTCATTCATCTAATAGCTATGGCTTAAAGGGCTTACTGGAAAAAAGAATGAATTCTGGATTTCATTGACTTGCTTGCTATTTTATTTGCTCTCTGTAAACGCAGCCTCTCTGGCGCACTGAGAGTTTCAGGTTTTCAAGGATTGAAGTCAAACAAAGCTAGAAAAGCTAGAAAGCGACAGGAAAGAATGCGTTTACAAGGTGCGTCACATTGAAGGCCTCAATTTGTGTGATGATCGTTTCGCGAGTCACTTCCCCCTCCAGTTTCTTCGTCTGAAACGTTCGTACAATTTACTCCAGGAAGCTCTTAAACAATCCGAGCACAAAGTACAAAATTCTGAAGTGAATAAAGGCTAAAATTTAAGCAGTAAAACTAATATTGGAGCATAAATCATAAAGTAAAAAGCTTTGAACAAAAACTAGAGATGAATGCGCGCATAACAAATGTCGTGGTGCATCGAAAAGGCAAAAATAAGCTATCTCTGAAGGGAAATCTCTCTTGTTGAAGTTTTCTTCAAAAAATCTTTTCTTTTTCACATAGAAAGCTTGAAAGAAATAAAAAAAAGGATAAAAGTTTTGGAAAAATTTTTTTGGGAATAGTTTTAAACTTTTTTCCGTCTGAAATTCGTGACAACAAAGCCGGCAGAGTCTTAAGCTGAGTTTATGCCTCGTGTCCAACGGCCCCACATGGCTCAGTGGGTAGTGTGCTCGTCTACAAAACGGACCTAAGCTGGTTCGAATCCTCCGCTCGCTTTTCAGTTTTCATTTCTTTCATTTGATCACTTTGTTTCACTAAATTTCTTAAATTTAACTTTTTAATTAAATTCTTAAACTTGACCCATTCGAAACTTCTGCAGCGAATAATCGTTGCAGCAAAAACTCAGGAACGGACCGCTGCAGCGCTAATTGAGCTATTCTCATTCAATTAATTGCTTTTTTTTTTTGCTGTTTTTCAGCATTACATGTATATGCCAATTGTAGCAGCTCTACAAATTACGTGGGCAAAAAAAAGATGTTTCATCTTTACCCGGAATCAATGCAGCCTCTGGTTTTGCATTGAAATGTTCCATAATAGCTCTAATCTTATAAAGCCGATCTCCTGCAGGATCCAGTTCATTATCACAAAAACGCAGATTTCGAAGAATAGATTCAAATTTTGCTCTTGACATAATGTGGGACATGTGGGGAAAATTCTCCTAATCCAGGCCTGCTACTCCAGTAGTCACGAATCCTC